TAAGATTAAAAAATTACGTTTGAGTAAATTTTTTTTTATTAAAAAACTTTTTTACGCATTTAATACAAAAAGTTTTTAAATACATTATACATATTAATTTAATTGATTTTTTTATAAACTTAATGCAACTTTGTTTTGTTGTTTATAAGTCTGTTTTTTTTACGTATAGTATTGTCCGGTAACGTCGTTATTTCGTTTAAAAGGAAATAAAACCCCTTAATACTTTCATAAAAAGGCTACCCAGTAAGCACAAAGACGTTTAAAAGACGTTTTAAAGATGTCTTAAAAGAGGTCTAAAAGGCGCACTTGTAGACGTCTAGATCAAAAGGCTAAAAGACGTCTTAATAAAAACGTCTTTATAAAAACGCGTTTTAGACGTATGTTAGACGTTTTTTTCAAAATAAATTTAAGTACATGACGTAACATTTTCGCGTAGTATGTGGTATATATTAATTGTATTTATAACATCATATATTGTTATAATTTCGTATATACAAAATATACATGGGAACCAGCAATCAAAATAATATTGCTGTAATCACCACCAACGTTTGATGCATCAAAGATGAAAATAATAAATAACAATAACAAATATACTTCAAAACAGTATTTAAAACATTTATAACTTACCTTTAGTTTTAATAAATTTAACAAACGTATAGCTAGCTAATTTTTGACCGCATACTTGACTTATGATATGGCTTGTGGGTGTATAAAAACTAAAAGTACTGATATTTAACTTATATATTATTCTTGCCATTTTCACTTATTATCATGATCAGTCAACTATCTATTAAAAAAGCAAAATAATTATTAATAAAAAAAAGATATATTATTATTATAGCAATTATTTTAGTGATTCCTGTGTCAGCAATTTTAGCAATTGTGTAAAAAAGTAATTTAATTTAAAGTAATTTACACTTAAAACTTGAACAAATTATTGAAAATAATAAAAACTATGTTTTTACTTTGAATATACGACATCTACTTAACGCGTAATGACAAAGCCGTCAAAAAGAAGTCATAATGACATATTTATAAACAGGTCTCAGAAAAGACGTCTGTTAGCTTTGATCTAGACGTCTTTTAATGCGTATTTCAAACTTTAAAAAGACGCATTTTAAATGTCATGTTAAAATTGCATTTATTAAAGACGTCTAGAAGATGTCTTAAAAAAAGATATCTTCTAGTCGTTTTTTTAACGCTTAAATAGACGCCTTTTAAAAGTCATTTTAAAAACGCCTTTAAAAAAGACGTCTAGAAGATGTCTTAAAAATTGACCTCTTCTAGACATCTTTTTATCTTTCAAAAAGACGCCTTTTAAACGTCATTTTAAAAACGCATTCTTAAAAGACGTCTGAAAGATGTCATTAAAACGTCTATAAAAGTGCGTCTTTACCTAGACTAGTTTTAGACGTCTATAAGTGTCTAAAATGCGTCTTGTGCTTACTGGGTAATTACCTAAGTAAATATTTTTCTGATTTATAAAATTTTAACAGATTTAGATTCTCCGTTAAATTTCGCAACTTTTAGTTATACCCCAAATTTTATTAAACTTTTTTTTCAAAAAATGTCTAAAATTGACACACCCTAAAATATATATATATATATATATATATATATATATATATATATATATATATATATATATATATATATATATATATATATATATATATATATATATATATATATATATATATATATATATATATATATATATATATATATATATATTACATGTTTTTTAAGTCTAATTTAATAAAAAAGTTGTTTAAAACTATTTAGAACTAAATTCTTAAAATTTTTTATTTTAACTAAAATTAAAGCAAATCAGTTATTAAAAAGAAAAACAAGGTTACTTATACCTCATTTTTTGAAAATATTTAATTTCCTTTACAAACCTTGAAACTGCTACTTTGACTATGACTCTGTAATCCTTTGGCTCAAAAATGCTAAAAACTATCGTGTTGTTCTTGCTATTTAGGTTTAAAGTATTTGCAATCTGATGAGTCATATTAAAACTTCCCCAACCATAATCAACTCTATTTTTATTGTGCATCTCTTTTTCAGGAATAAATTTGTTGTAATTGTCTTTTACACTACAGAAAATTAAATCAATAAACAATCATTTACATTATATAAAAATGAACTCCTTAGTAGGCAATATTTTTCTTTTAAAATGAACACAAATATACTTTAAAGAAAAAAACTACTTTTTGAATAATGTTTTAAAAATAATTTAACTTTTGGTTGTTACAACTGCCTATCTACTTCATCAATATGTTTTAAAATATGTGTTGGTAAATTTTCAATATAGCCCCAAAATACAACAGTTACTGATTTTTTCTAGCTGCTGACAACAATAACTGATTACATTAGTTTTTTAAATGTAGGTCATCACCACATAATTTTTATGCAAGTATTTCCTGTGAAAATTGTTATGCTGTATTTATATTAAAGCTCTTAAGTCACCTTTTAACAAACAAAAAATATCTATTTCATTCTATAAAAATTAGTTTAAAACAAAATTCATAAAGTAAAATATTAACTTGGACATTATGTTAAGCTTTTTCCGTGGTATGCACTGATCTGCTTTCATTGGTATCATGTTAGTGGCATTAATTAATACTTTTTCAGTATTTAGATTATTCAATATTATTCCTTTTGTCTCTGCTTGAAAAAAATTTAGCAGCTTTGATCACTGACAAAAAATTGCATCATTGGATGTACCAGACACAACTTTAAATTGTATTTTAATAGAAGTATTTCCAACTTTTAAAGTTGTAGCTGATGTTGGTTACTACTTACATAAGCTTTTGCAGTGAATGTAATCAAAAATAGCTAAAAAAAGATCAATGAAAACAACACCTGTTTTAATAATATTTATTAAAAACGCTATTTTTTATTTTAGCGATCATTAAAAATGATCATACTTTTTCACAAATACCAGGGCAGTTAAAAACCTTTTTATTGTGTTTAAATACTTTAGCAATATTTAGACCATTTCTGAGTTTTTCTAGACAACAAAAGCAAACACCTCAATAAGGTTGCCAGTTTATTCATAAAAAAGTTTTGTTGATTTATCTTTTTTGATAAATTTGTTTATGGTATTATAAAACTTATGGCAAATTTTATTCGGGTAATTAGTTTTTATCTCATAAAAACATTGGGAAAAACAAAACAATAAAAAACTGAAAAGTTGTTTTATGTCATGCTGTCAGACATGACGTAAAACAATTTTTCAGTTTTTTTTTTTGGCTTGTTTCAAAGTTTAAATTTTTTTTTCTGAAACAAGTATCAACAAACCCTAAAAAGGAGGCTCAAATTCTTGTTATTAATCTCCATTAAAAAAAAAGCTAAAACTGTGGATAAATATACTGGTTTACCAAGAAGCATTAACTATATATATTAAATAGTGTTTATATTCATATTTTAAATTAAGCTAACAAATCAATATCAAGGGCATATAAAATAAAAAGCTTCATTTAAAATTAAAAACTTAAAAACTTTGAAATTTTTTTTACAAAGAACAATTTACATTATTTAAAATGGAGTCAATTTATGATTATATTTGGATGAGAATTTTGAACAAGAAAAAAAAATTTAGTGCAAACATGCACTACATATGAGGAGTAAAAATAAAATTTTTATGAACAAAAGATTCATAAAAATAAAATGATAAACGTTTCAAGTTTAACCGCTCAAAAAAAAAAAAAAAAAATTACAAATCTATAAACAAATCGATGAAAAACTTTGCTTTTTTACTAAATCAGCATCATTCATAAAATGTGAATCTTTTATTTAACATCATTAATAAAATGTGATTCTTTTATTTAACCAAACACTACCAATAATTCATAGCTAGTTATCCTGGTAGAAAATGATAAAAAAAGCAAGTAGTAAAAAAAAGGTTGGTACGCAATTAAAAATCAACTTTATTGCGAAAGCCCGAAGCCAATTTGAACCTTAAAGTTTTTATAATTTAACCGCGCTTGGTTACAATAACTTTTTGTTTGTTAAATAAGTATAAACTACCGTGCTGTACAAACGTAAGTTTTTCAACAAAGTTACTATTTTTTCTTCTTTAGTAACGGTACTAAAAAATTATTAATAAATTAGGCAAAGTTTAATTTAGTTCAGTTTAGTTTAGATCTCAAAAATTCATCTCTTAAAAATATATTAATGTACATTGAGCTTTAAATTGTGTGATTGAAAGATTGAATAGTAAAGGAGAGACAAAAACTCACTTATATACAAACATCTCCATAAAAAAAATGATTGTTTAAATAGTTAGAACAAATGGATTCTGTCTGCAATAAATTCGACCTTAATATTAAAGAAAGTTTGTTCAATGAAAAAAGCCAGAGTTGAACAAACAGTTAAATCATTATAAAGTGTAACATACAATATATATATATATATATATATATATATATATATATATATATATATATATATATATATATATATATATATATATATATATATATATATATATATATATATATATATATATATATATATATATATATATATATATATATATATATATATGAATCTTTTTAGCAACTTGCTTGAAAAGCAACTAAATACATACATATATATATATATATATATATATATATATATATATATATATATATATATATATATATATATATATATATATATATATATATATATACATATATATATATACATATATATATATATATATATATATATATATATATATATATATATATATATATATATATATATATATATATATATATATATATATATATATATATATATATATATATATATATATGTATATATATATATGTATATATATATATATATATATATATATATATATATATATATATATATATATATATATATATATATATATATATATGTATGTATTTAGTTGCTTTTCAAGCAAGTTGCTAAAAAGATTCTTACCAATTTTTGGCTTTTAAATCTTTTTACGATTGCTTTTTGTTTTCTAGATACCTGCACTTGTTTCGTTGTTTGCATAGCTTTAGCTATTTTAAGTAGTACTTTTCTTTACCAAATTTTTGCACCTGGAACAAGTTTTCGATACTTTCTTTGTAAGCAGGGAAGATTAAGTGGATCTGCATCTTTTCAATTTATTCCACTTCGTGCAAGTAATCTTGTAAGTTTTTTTTTTATAGTATTTAAAGGTTTTTTGTTTTGTAAAGCTTTTATCTTATAAATGTTTCTTAAATCCAGAAATTCGGTGTTTTTTAATATTTATGACAGTTAACTGTCATAAATATTAAAAAACACCGAATTTCTGGATTTAAGAAACATTTATAAGATAAAAGCTTTACAAAACAAAATTAAATTAACACATATAATTATATGTGTTAATTTAATTTTGTTTTATTTAATATTTTATTGCACAATAGATAAAGATTTCAAAAATGTTATAATGTTGATCTATTTTAACCGAGTTGATTATATTTTGTTGGCAATCATAATAATAATTTAAATAATACTCTATCCACTTTTCATTTAAATTTTTTTATTTTTATAGTATCCTCACGTATATGGTATTGAGTTTGAGTTTTTAACCCTTATGCAAAAGACAGGTCACACTGAGTATAAAAAGTTAAACCTCACAGGTTCACTTATTTAATGCATTATATTTATTGTTATATATATATCTAATATATATATATATATATATATATATATATATATATATATATATATATATATATATATATATATATATATATATATATATATATATATATATATATATATATATATATATATATATATATATATATTTATATATATATATATATATATATATATATATATATATATATATATATATATATATATATATGCATATATATATATATATATATATATATATATATATATATATATATATATATATATATATATATATATATTTCTATCTAAATTTATATATATATGTATACAATTTATACATACTACTCAAAAAATAATTTTTTTAGCAGTAGTAACCCTGCAATTTCCGCAAGCTAAACATTTATTGATTTACAGTCTTAAATAAGTAGTAAAAAAGGCAATATAAATCTTTTTTTAATTTCATTTCTTTTTAAATCAAAAAATAAGATAAAAGTAGTGTAATTATGATCGGTTTTTTTACAAATTTAGTCGGCAATCGGCTATATGACACAGTTCAGTTTGTGAAGTATTTGTTTTAAGGATCTTTTTTTTCTTTTTTAGAAGCTAATCGGTACATTTTGAGGATTCACCTACCTCATTTTATTAGTAGAATTGCCTCTGCTTGTTTATACTTCAGCTATATAAAAAAAGCGTTATGTCCATATATTTTCTAAGACTGTATTTTATTTTTTTACCTTTGCTTTTTTTAAAAGTAGTTTTAATTAATGTACACATTTTAGTTGGTTCGCTTTATTTTAGATATATGAAATGTTATAAAATATATTTCAATGAAGCTTGTAAATAATTTTTTCTACATGCAAGTTGTGATATTAAACTGAGAGTGAAAAAACATAATGCTTGTGTCTAAATGTTTTTCATCACTAGTTACATTTGTCTTTAGCTCATATTTATCTAAAAAAGAAAATATTGGATGTTCTTCGTGTTACAACTTTTTTTAAAGCTTCTCAGTACTTAGATGCATTTGCACTAGCAGTCTTTTCTTTTGCATATAACGGATTAAGATTTAGAAAAAAAAAATAGTCTTTAAAATTTTTTACAGAATCAACTTATTTATGTAAAAATTACATTAAGTTATATTTTTTATTGAAACATTTAAAGAAATACTTGTTTCATATTTATCTGCAGAAAACTTAAAACTTTGATAACGAGAAATTTTAATTTGTTTTGATGATGAAAGCGTTCTTAGCTTAAGTCTTGCACTGTTGCTTAGTAAATGTTAATTCAATCTTTATTCTTCTGCTATTCCATATTTTGGGAAAGCTTTATAGATTTTTATCTTGAGATCATTTTACCTGTGCTTTTTGTTATTTTGCTATTAATAATCGAGTTATACGAATCTATGCTTTTTCATTCCTTCATTACAACAGAGAATATATTATGTTTTCCAACCCAAAGGATTTTTAAGCAATCTTCTTGGACATGTCTTTAACTTTTTCAGCTGCTCTAGATGTTTTATATTTATTATTTTTCAAAGGCCGTTTTTTAAGCTTTTGCAGAGGTGTATTAGTTTCTTCACTAGTAAATGCTACTTGGAAGCGCTCTTTATTCTCAGCATATTTTAGTTGTATGGGTATAAATATAGCATATTTTAGTTGTATGGGTATATATATCTCAGCAATTTTAGTTGTATGGGTATAAATTGATTCTACAATGATGTCATGAACGGCTTGCTAATACTATTTTACAGTTAAAATTCTCTTTAAATTTTTCAACACTTTTGTAATAAAAATAGGTTTGAACTTTATAAATAAGCATTTTAAATTTTTCAACACTTTTTTAATAAAAATAGGTTTGAACTTTATAAAAAGCATTTTAAAAGATAAAGTTTTTTAATCTTTATTACCAGTTTTTTTTAGGGAGCAAAGAAAATGATATCACTGATTAAACAATGATTATTAACTCATGCTTACTATTTTTTAATTTAGAAAAAGCAATAAAAATATATTTTGTTTCCCAATTTTATTCACGGTGTTTTTTATTTTATACATGGCTCTCTTTGTTTTAGAAAGGTTATTTTTAGAAATTTCTTCTGGTATTTCCCTTTTAACTTGGATATGTTACATACTATTTTGTAATAATCAATAAACATTTAGTCCACTCTTTATCTTTTTTTGTGTCTATTAGTTTATAAAGCTATCACACTGGGTAGTTCTTAAAACAGTGTTTTAAAAAACTTTCTTTTACTGAGTATGTCTTGTATAAAAAAGTATAAAATATCTTGTTTAAATACAACTACATAGCTATTAATATAAACTCAGGTTCTTTCATATTATAATTAATAACTATTCAAACTTCGAACTCTGACTTTTTTCATTACTTGAATGTATTGAAGAAAAAACTGGTTCATAAGTAATTCCTTCTTTAAAAAATTTACTACAAAAGTTTAGACATTGTTTTGAGGTTTTCTATGCTTTCTTTTAAGTAATTTGTTATCTAACTTTGCACTTTATATTTTTGCTTTTGTTAAATATTCATTCCCACTCTATTTGGAGTCAATCTCTCTAAATCGTGCTATGTATTACGATAACTGGAGAAAAATAAAAACCCAAAAATAAAAAAAATAAAAACCTGAATTGGAAACCAGTTTATATAAACTACAACAAAAATATCAAATAAGTTAAATATTTTTAGGCACTCTAAATTTTTGCAAAAGTTAACCTAGGTCAACTGTATGTTAACACATTCCATCACAAGAAATAGGACCTTTTTTAAAAAAAAAGCGATATAGAAATACAAGTCCATTTCTTCAGAATGTAATCGAAAGAGCCAAAGATGATATTCCAAAAAAATAGACTTAACATCCTACAGAAAAATAACTACAAATTAAAAAGGCTAAAAAAAAAAGAAGAATTTAGCTTATAAAACTATTTGAATATTGAGGAATATGAAGATTATGTTTTGATTTAAATAATTTTTTTAGTTTATCAAAATTTTGAGTAACAAGTATATAAATTAAAAAAAAAAAAAAAATTATAACACATGTTTAAATCATTTAAGATAATTCAATTAAATAAATTCAAAAAGGTTATAGTACATATTTAGTTGAATTGTTGTTGAAGCACAAAGTCTTTAATACATGTTGCAGTTGTGGTGTAGTTGAAGAGCGCCTGCTTCATAATCAAAAAACTTCGAGTTCGATCCCTACCATGTCTCTGGTAGTTCTGTCTTCAACTTGTTTCTTCCCACACAAACCTTGTTTGTCAAGGATCGTGTTATGCAGTTAAATAGTTAGTAGAGCCTTCTTAACTAAGTTTTTTCAGAAAGTATACATAGTGGGACTGGTGTCATTTTAATGTACACTTTGAGAAATTAAGAACATTAGGTACAGAAAAACATACTAGTTTGTTTTTTTAAGTTATTTTATTAATTTTTTTAAGTTATTCAGCTTCATTTTGATTTTAGTTATTTATTTTATCAATATGCACAACTTTTACATTGCTCTCCTTAAGTTCTAATGAATATATATAAATACAATCAGAGTGGAGCAAGTAATATAAAAAATGTTTGATCATCAATATTTATAAAATAGAAAAAAATAAAATGAAATTGTTGCTCTAATATTATACAAAAGAGTGAAATTAAAAAGTTGAATAAAAAAAAAAGATAAAAAATTAAAAAACAGTTTAAACTTTCTAAAATAATATTTATCAAAATAACATATTGAATAACACGAATATATAATTTACAAATTGGTACATATGCGGATGCATATTCAATACAAAACGTATTATATGTTTTAGGAGTCCCAATAACCAGCTATCCGGGGTCGAGGTTTTGTTAAAACAGATTGTAAATTAAAGAATATTCAAAGGATTTTGAAGATTCAACTTTATCTTTTTATATTTTTATTCAAAATTAACATAAACAAACAAAAACAAGGAAGATATTTTTTAAAATAAAATTTAAAAAAAAAAAAATAGTTTAAGTATTGTCTAAGTTTGGCAAATGTTTTGTTATAGTTCTTTTAATTATATCAATAGATTTTCTTTTTTTATATATATAATTTATTTTTAGTCAAGAATTGTATTCCTCAGGCGTTTTCCCTGACATGTAATTGAGAAGTCAGTTTTTTGTAGTGATGTTAGTGTAATGAAGTAAATACGTATGAATTGTCATGTATCTTATTTATGATGAGTTAGAAAAAAATTATTAAAAATGTTTTGGAATTATATTACTTTAAAGTTTAAACCTAAATAACAAGTTATGGTAAGTATTTAGTCTGTATACATTCAGATCATTTCCTTAAGTAACGGCTCGACACTTTAGTTTCCATCGGTGCCTGAAACAAATTAACTTGCATCCTTTGTTTTGTATGACTATTTGTTAGGTAAGATGACTGATTCTTCTTTGCTCAGACAAAATTATAATAATTAGTATGACTATGTATATACAAATAATTTAAATTTTTTAATCATATTTTATTCAAAAGATATTTTGTCTAGTACATAATTTGCAGAGTCTTTGAAAATTTATTCTTGACGAACGTTGATTGGCTTATCCAATTTTAATGCTCATCAAAAATTATTGGAAGTATTTTCATTAAATAAACTCTTTTAATTTTAATATTGTTCTAATAGAAAAGTAGTTTGAGTAAGAGATTTAAGATTTAGATGCTTTAGGAAATAAAATATGTTTCGTTTTGCCAATATTTAATGACTTTTGATTTGCTATATACCACTTAATAATATATATTAGTTCTGTTTTCACATAACATAAAACATGTTTTAAATTTAATCCTGAATAAAAAAAACATTAGTGTTTTCAGCAAAAATATTATAATTAAGTATCTTTTAGGAGCAATAAATATCGTTTGTATAAAATAAAAACATCAATCTCCAAGTAATGTTACTAATGGAATACTGCAACTTGTTGATTCAAATCGTGTGCACCCCAAGTCGTGTAGAACTCCTTTTTTACAGTTTTTAAATAACTTTGA